CTTTGTTTAGCTTCTTCTCCTGGCTGCCACACATCCAGTCATCATGTTATCTTGGCTTGAAAAATATGCAGAGACCCTGAAAGTGACAAAGCTACACGGTTACATATGTGTACTAAATATTTTAAAACGGTTAGCTGCCTTTCTTCTATAATGTAATATGTAATATGTTTACTGGGACATGGTAATGTTCTTTAACTCTGCTATTTTTTTAGCATTTTGCTTACCGATTCTCCACAAGTCCTGGTTTAGTAAATAACCCAAGTTATGTTTTATCTGCATAACGTGTATATTCTTTTGGTGTCACTTTTACACCCAATATATATATTTTCCACGATCCTGCACTCACATTTGTAATATAAGTGCCACGGTGCTCTTTCAGCCAAATCAACTTAAATCTCTATGAAGAAAGGCACACGCTGATGGATCCTGGATCTTGATGAAAGTCCTATGATGGACTGAAACATCGATTTGCTGTAATTCATGTGTTATTAATAAAGACGAATAATTTTCTTCAAAAAGCCCAGCGTGTGCCTTTCTTCACGGAGATATATATATACACACATACATGTCTCCTCTGCAATATTAGCTCTCTCTTCTGACTGTCTGAATACCTCAAGCCATGCTTTGTGAATTGCATACTTCCTTAAATAGTTGGATGTTCCATGTTCATTAATGTATTGCTAATTACTATACGAACAGAGAAGGCAATATATGCAATTTTAAAAGGAAGTTGATCAATTATTGACCAAATAATCTCCCCTTTATGCCTAGCCAGAGCCTAAAAACAAATTAGTGGGAAACATAATGACAGAGCAGTGGGGCAGTTAAATAGCTGGACTAGCAAGATAAGAAAATGGAGGGAAATGGCAATATTGAACAGGGAATTAGAAATAATAAATAATACAAACCATTTAAAGAGGCCTTGTTAAAAGATATACTTGTTGTTTTAGCATTTGTGCTTACTGTGACAAGCTAACATGTTTTAAAGCAGTGAAGAACACCACCTTTTATCCTAAGACATTTTCACTGCCGTATGCCACTTCCTTATTTGCAGGAATGTTGTATCTCTTGCTAGCCACACATATCCAGGAGAGTAGGTCCATTTCAGATATTAAGGTGTGGACTATATATTGGTATTCTAAAAGTACTTGGAAATGTATAAATTAAAATACATACGGTACTTCCCTGATTTTGTCCTCTTCCATTGCTATTATGTCTGCTTCAGTTGATTTTTAAACTGACACTATAGTCACCAGAACAACTCTAGCTTATTGCAGTTATTCTGGGGAGTATAGCCTGTTGAGGCAGGCTTTTTAATGTAAACAGTGTCTTTTCAAAGAAAAGGCAGTGTTTACATTACAGCTTTGGAACGCCTCTAGTGGGCACTCCTCAGACGGCCACTAGAAATGCTTCCTGGGGCAGAGGTGAGCAGTATGAAATAGCTACTAAGTATACTTATTACCATAATGAAAAAGTCGGTAGAGGTGTGCCAAAACCGACGTGTGTGTGGTAGGCCTGTAAATAAGTGGGCCTACCTTAAATAGTATTGAATAGAGGGAGAGGAGGATGGGCCAGAAGTACGTCTGGACCAGTAGGTAAGTTAGGTAGGAGGGGGTAGTCCCTTTTAAAGGTACATAGCCCCTCCCACAACTTCAGGCCCCGCCTTCCAATTAGTGTTCGGGGCCATTTCAGTATGAAATAGCTACTAAATATACTTATTACCATAATGAAAAAGTCGGTAGAGGTGTGCCGAAACCGACGTGTGTGGTAGTTTAAGCAGACTGTGATTGTCTATTGTTGTGACTTAGATGATGATCAGATCACATTTTATGACCAATTTGTGCAGAAATCCATATCATTCCAAAGGGTTCACATACTTTTTCTTGCAACTGTGTATGTGTGTGTGTGTGTGTGTGTGTGTGTGTGTGTGTGTATATATATATAATTTTTTTTAATTTTTTTTTTTGATTGTGAAGCAAACAACAAATAGGACAAATTAACAGAAAAGGTCAATGTGCATAACTATTCACCCCCCTAAAGTCCATACTTTGTAGAGCCACATTTTGCAGCAATGACAGCTCCAAGTCGCTTTGGATAAGTCTCCTATGAGCTTGCCACATATTGCCACTGGGATTTTTGCCCATTCCTCCTTGCAAAACTGCTCCAGCTCCTTCAAGTTGGATGGTTTGCACTTGTGAACAGCAATCTTTAAGTCTGACCACAGATTTTCTATTGGATTGAGGTCTGGGCTTTGACTAGGCCATTCGAACACATTTACATGTTTTCCCTTAAACCACTCAAGTGTTGCTTTAGCAGTGTGTTTGGGGTCATTGTCCTGCTGGAAAGTAAACCTCTAGTCCTAGCCTCAAATCATGCACAGAGTGGTACAGGTTTTGCTCAAGAATATCCCTGTATTTAGCACCATCCATCTTTCCCTCAACTCTGACCAGTTTCCCAGTCCCAGCTGCTGAAAAATATCCCCACAGCATGATGCTGCCACCACCATGTTTCACTATGGGATGGTGTTCTTTGGGTGATGTGATGTGTTGGGTTTTCGAGAGACATAGCGTTTTCTTTGATGGCCGAAAAGTTCAATTTTAGTCTGATCAGACCAGAGCACCTTCCTCCAACCATTTCGTGAGTCTCCCATATGCCTTTTCGCAAACTCAAAACGTGCCATTTTATTTTTTTCTGAAAGTAATGGCTTTCTTCTGGCCACTCTGCCATAAAACCCAACTCAATATAGCGTATGGCTTATTGTCATCCTATGTACAGATACTCCAGTCTCTGCTGTGGAACTCTGCAGCTCCTCCAGGGTTACCTTAGGTCTCTGTGCTGTCTCTCTGATTAATGCCCTCCTTGCCCGGTCCCTGAGTTTTGGTGGGCGGCCGTCTCTTGGCAGATTTGCTGTTGTGCCATTTCTTTCCATTTGGTTATGATAGATTTGATGGTGCTCCTGGGGATCATTAAAGATTTGGATATTTTTTTTTATAACCTAACCCTGACTTTTACTTCTCAACAGCATTGTCCCTTCCTTGTTTGGAGAGTTCCTTGGTCTTCATGGCAAAGTTTGGTTAGTGGTGTCTCTTGCATAGGTGTTGCAGCCTCTGGGTGTGTGTATATGTAATGACAGATCATGTGACACTTAGATAGCACACAGGTGGACATAATTTCACTAATTATGTGACTTCTGAAGGTAATTGGTTGCTCCAGAGCATTTTATGGTCTTCATAACAAAGGGGGTGAATACATATGCACATGCCAATTTTCTGTTTTCTATTTGTAAAAAAATGTTTTATGTATATATTTTTCTCTTTTCACTTCACCAACTTAGACTATTGTGTTCTGATCCATCACATAAAATGCAGATTAATAAAACATTGAATTTAAGGCTTTACTGTAACAAAATAGGTAAAAAGTCAAGGGGGTGAATACTTTTGTAAGGCACTGTATACTGACATCTGTTTATACACAGGATAGGTGAGGAAGGGTTTGAGTGCAAGAGTGAACTAATGGTTCCAGAGATCAGTATGAAGGATTTATTAATGCTCTATATAGATATATCTAAATTGCTCTTCCTTGCCACATCTTCTCTCTCTCCCTTTAAATATAACTGCTTCTTTTTAAATGCCCCTCTCCTTTCACAGTAAAGGACATTGTAGAAAACTAGGGTTATTCACTAAAGTTAGAAGTGCCAAGAATTCATAGTGAATTTACAATTTTAGGCCATAATGGAAGCATAGCTGACTTAAAGAATTTCTCCAGGTAAGAGATTTTTGACTTTTACTTTGCGTTCCTGACATAGGCGTACGCACGGGGTGTGCCGGGTGTGCCTGGGCACACCCTAATCCCCGTGGCACGCCTATGGTTTGAGTCCTGCAGGAACAGCGTTCCTGCACTTTTTTTTGAGCAGGAACGCTGTTCCTGCAGGCACTCAGCGCCCCCTGTCTCACCTCTTGCCACCCGGCCCCTTTCTCCAGCTCAGCCGCGGCGAGGGAGCTCTCTTCTGTCTGCTGTCTGCTCCCTCACGCCGCGCGCTGATGCCGGGAGCCGGAATATGACATCATATTCCGGCTCCCAGCTACAGCAGACAGCCCGCGCGGCGAGAGGGAGCAGAGAGCAGACAGCAGAGAGCTCCCTCGCCGCGGCTGAGCTGGAGAGAGGAGCCCGCCCCACTGGACCCCAGGGACAAGTCCACGCCAGCACTCCAGGTAGGAGGCTGGGTGGACATTTTTTTTTTGTTAAAATATAATAATTTGTTCTTGTGTCTGTGTGTTTCTGTGAGTGTGTGTGTGTCTGTTAGTGTGTCTGTGTGAGTGTGTCTGTGAATGTGTGTGTCTGTGTGTCTGAATGTGTCTGAGTGTGTGTGTACATATATATATATACACATACACACACACACACACACACACGCGCGCAGAGCCGGCGCTATCTGAGTGCCGGCTCTGCTCTAAGCCTCCATGGGATGGTGGGGAGACCAAAGATCTACCTCACCGGCCCACAGCAGCATGGAGGGAGGCAGGAGAGGACCCAGGGAGCTCCGCCAGGTTCCTCTTGCGATATCTGAGCGTTGCTGTGGCAACGCTCAGATCTCGCGAGAGTTAACTCTAGCCCCGCAGGCTAGAGTTCACTCTCCACTGGACCACCAGGGATGGCACATGGCAGCAAGGATTTACTAATCTGCCAAATCCCTCCAAACATACAGCACACACACATACAGCACCTACACACATACTGCTCACACACACACAGTACACTAACCGCACCCTTACACTCACAAACAGCACACTAACAGCACCCTCACAAACACACACACAAACAGTGCCCTCACAAATACACGACACTCACACAAACAGCACCCTCACAGGACAAACATACACACACAAACACCCTCACACACAAACAGCACAGTCACAAACACACACACACACAAACACCCTCACATCACACTAACAGCACCCTCACACACACACATCACACTAACAGCACACAGCACACACAGCAGTGTATGTGTGTGTGTGTATATCTATATATATATCTATATATATATATATATATATATATATATCTATCTATATATATACACACACATACATATATAGATACATACACACACACACACACACACGCGCGGCGTGTGTTTGTGGTTTAGGGTGCACACCCTAATGCAATAGGCTGCGCACGCCTATGGTTCCTGACAGTTCTCACTTTATTAAATGACCCTGTTAGTCTTGCATAATCTAGGGTAATGTGGTCACTAGCAATTCTGATTTAACCATAACAATGCAGTCTTTGGTGGAACACCGCATTCTACACTGTAAATTAATGTTGGTAAATGGGGATTGGACAGATGAGCTGATAAGAGAAAGTGTGGGTTCATATTATTGCCATGCTTGCTGTTAACAATTTAGTTGGGTGGGTGACTGTAAAAACAATTCACAAGTTTTGTCTATAAATCTGCTTTCAATGGTGAGCTGCTTGGATGTAATGCTTTTTAATATGTGTGTGTGTGTGTGTGTGTGTGTATATATATATATAATTATTTTTATTTTTTTTCCTGGAAGAAAGATGCACACATGGGTGCATCTTTACATATTTACTACACTGACTCCAGCCTCTGCTTGTTTGCCACACTGTTGCCTTCATTTTTTTTGTTCATTGCCAAACCGCATTCTGCTGGGTTTTCTGACCTTTTATTGAAACTCACATTTCCTGCTGTTTTTTTTCCTATCAATATTGTCCCCTACTGGACTTTTTCTTTTTCTATTCAGTGCCACAAACACTCCCCCCCTTTCATTAATACAATGTTCTTTGCTGTTCTTTTTCCTTAATTGCCACTCTGTACCTTTCCCCCTTAATTGCAGTATTACCCCCTGCTGGATTTTTCACCACATTGCCACAATGTTCTCTGCGGAGTTCCCCCTTTCTCTTACTGAAACAAATCACCCTGCTGGGTTTCCTTCCTAATTTGCCACTCTGATCGGACTGGTGTTTTTTTTTAGTTTTTTTATTTCACATTCTCATTGTCACACTGCTTCCTGGTTGGTATTTTCCACTTTGATTATCACAATGTGTCCTGCTGGGTTAACCCCTTTACTGCCACACTTTCATCTGCTGGTTTGTTCCCATTCATTGCCACATTGTCTTCTGCTGGGTTTTTCCCATCCAAGCCAAACGACCTATCAATGAAGGGGAAAACCCCAGCATCAGACTATTCCTCCTTGTTGCCACACTGTCACCTGCCTGTCATCTCCCTATTCATTGCAGCATGGTCCTCTTCTGGGTTTTGGTTCTTGCTGATGCACCGTGACATGCTGGATTCTCTTTCTTCACTACCATGCTGTCTCCTAGTAGGTGTTCTACCTTTGTTGCATCATTCTACCCAGCAGTTCATTGATTGCCAAATCGTCTCTTGCTGCATTTTCTCTCGTTGACATACTATAAGGTTGAATTTGTGTGTCTGTGGTTTTTTTTTTGGGGGGGGGGTTCCTTCTTTTCTTTTCTCCGTACCTAATCTTCCCCATAATATCAGACTCTAAACATATTCTTTTCATGTTTCCATTTTCCCCTTATTGCCATATTGTCTCCAACTTTACTCTTAATTTTTCATGTCCCTTACTGAATTTTGGCTTTTATTGTCATGGTGCTGCTGGGTTTGTTCGCTGTCCCCTGCTGGTTGTTCCATCCTAATTGACACACTTGCCTCCTGCAGTGTTTATCTCCCACTTCACTGTTAGGTAGCCTTAGGTGGGAGGAAAGGTAGCTACACATGTCAACCACCAAACCAGGAAATTATTATGTTCTGTGAGCCCCAACAAAAGCCTAGTTGTGGCATATGTCATGGATTTGCCTGTTCTACAAAGGCTTTGCAGCAGTGTGTATGTTTGGAATGTCCTTTAGTGTGTGACATTCATATATTTATATTTAGCATATGTATTTATATATAGAGCAGCAGCACACTCTGTGACAGTGTACAACATGATCGCAATATAAAAGAGAATCCTGTATAAATGGAACATTCACTTGAAGAGAAAAAGATGTCTGTGCATCAACAGCACCTTAGCTCTAAAGAGAAAAATCAATAAATAGAATGGAAGTTTTATGTTATAAAGAAAGACGTGCAAAGTAGAATTTCTTTAAAACACTTGCTGTATGTAGTTATACACAGCTGTCTGGGGAATATGTTTATTACACGGAAGTTATTGAGTACAGGACAGAGAGTGATCCCTCAGCACGAGAGAAATGGCTGAAATCACCACTGGGAAGTGTTTTTCATTAAAGGGATTTCTTGTTCATGTTATTAAGCTATTAAATTATACATGTCTCATTTGCAAGGTTCATAGCATTGCAAAGGGAATGCACCATTATGTCCGATGAAGGGTCACTCCAACCACCATGACCACTTCAGTGGTTGAAGTGGACATGGTGGCAGGAGTCAATATGTGCAGTGTTTCAGCTTAAAACGCTGCACATACTGCGTTATTGGCAATTATGCACCTCCAGCACACGTGACTTAGGTAGCCCAGAACTCTTGGCTGCCTGATGTCAATTCTGTGCATAAACTACGTCTGTTGTCTGCACGCTGACAACAGACATGATGATCTTCCTCTTGCATGCACTGGGCCTGGAATATTACGCCTGCAAGTTCCACACTCTTCTAAAGGGTTATAGTAACCTTTTCATTCCAATTACTTTTTTTCTGTACACACTAGATATATTGGGAGTTATTTGTAGCTATCAATTGCAGGGCAAATTAGAAATGTAGCTGTGTGCAGGAATATTCCATTAGTTTCCATGGTGATTATTCCATTTTTAGAACCTTGCCCCCACCAATTACTCCTTATGTGTAACCTCCTCCCCTTTCCTTCTCTACAGGGTCAGCACTCTAGCCTTCGTAATAATTTTGTGTTTGCAGTTAGGAACAGAATAGTCTAGAGGAAGCAAACAATGCAAATTTAATTGTTATTTCCACTTGGCAAATTGGTTTTGATAATGCTCTCTGGTTTATTACCATCTATCATCTAAATATATGGGCAATTTGTAAAATAAAACCAAAATAATCCAACACTGATTTAATAAAGGATTTGCTAAATTATCAAATATATTGCACAGTTTTTCAGAGATCCTGTATTTGAAACATGTTTAAAATGTTATATAGTTGGGAAAATGGAGCACTCTCTGGGAGAATTAGAATTGGAACTTGGAACATATATACCCTGTTTCCCCAAAAATTTGACATCCCCCGAAAATAAACACTAGCTTATTTTCAGGGGATGCTCGTAATCCAAGTCCTACCCCAAAAATAAGCCCTTGTAGCTACTTCGGTAATCTATGTTCGGGGAATTTTCCCAGAACATAGATTCTTGGGATTCCATATGCGAGTAAGCCAGTCTATGTTCGGGGATGTTTCCCCAAACATAGATTTGCAGGATTTCATACACGGGTAAGTCAGTCTATGTTCGGGGAAGTTTCCCTGAACATAGATTCTCGGGATTCCATGCCCTAGTGAACTGGTCTATGTTTGGGGGAATTCCCCCAAACATAGACCTGCATTCTAGCACCTGCTTGCTGTTTCCCCCCGAAATAAGACATCCCCTGAAAATAAGCCCTAGTGCATTTTCTGGGGGTAAAATTAATATAAGACCCTATCTTACTTCTGTTGCTTGTCCCACCCTCAATCTGCCTATTTGACATAATAATTGGAGGTACCAAATGTCCTGCTGGGCAATCAGCATCTCCTCATGCGTGGAGACGCAGAATTTTGGAGACCCTAAATGTCAGAGCTGCACACTGCAGCACTGCCCCCAGGAAGCACCTCTAGTGGTCATTACATGATGTAATGTAAACACTGCTTTTTCTCTGAAAAGACAGTGTTTAAAGCAAAAGGCCTGCAGGGACTAGAAATACTCACCAGAACCACTACATTAAGTTGTAGTTGTTCTGGTGACTATAGTGTCACTCTATCTAAAACTAATGCTGCGCTTGCAAGTCCTGTAAGGCAAGTCATTTGAGAGTATTGTCATTCTGTGATCTCTTTATGATGGTGTTTATGCTTATTGATGACCTGAAAGAAGAAAATATACATGGAGCAGTGCCACCCTTAATATTTGTAGGTCCCTTGGTGAGACATATTTACGGGGCACTAAGTATACCTGTGTTTTTTTGTTTTTGTTTTTTTAAAACATTTTTTAAATTAATTTTTTTTTTTAAATTGTTTATTTTTAATTTAGTTTTTTTTACGTCCTCCAAGCCTTTCTACCATTAGGAGAGCTGGAGCTTATCCTGACCCTTGTGACCAGTGGAAAGCGGCTCTGATTTGCATGCTTTTCCTGCACTGCTAGCATCCTGGCTTCCTGATCTCACATCCTGGCTTCCTAATGTCACATCTCGGCTCCCTGCCATTACTACAGAGTACGTGACAGAACGTTACAGGCACAGCAAATATGACAACCCCAAACAGCTAATATATACGTGTGTGTAAGCATTTTTTTGGAACATCACCACCCACTACCAACAATGACATTTATAGCGATTGATCACATCCCACCACCTATACGGGGTGGAGATCGCAAAAAACTTCTACTCCAGAAAGAATTGTTTTGGATTAGAATATTGGATATGTTTTTTCCTAAAAGACTAAATGAAAAATATACATTAACACTGTCCCAATAATGGAATACATCATGAACTACCTACTTGTATATACTAAACTACTTCAAGATATACTAGCAGGACTTAATATCACCACTTATTGCCATATACTGTATATTAATAACCACTTGTTTAGTAATCACTCCAGGCAGCATGCCTCCCCTTAAAGACTAATGTATCTAACATTCAAGAGATGTCTTATAATGCAACATTGTATAGCAGACTATGGTTTTGCTTGCTACATAACTATAGCCACCAATAGATACTTTGCTCTCTGTGCTATTCTGCATTCACATTTTTCATACTCTTTCCGCTGATTTAAAATTATAGCTAAATACTCTTAAGTCCATTGTGTTTAAATACCGATGTAGTTAGGACTATCACGTCCCTACATCACTTAATAGCTATATCACCCTTAAACTCCTATTTGAGCCGCCATCACTCTCTTTCATACTTCATTATGGCCAGATTGTTTTTATTC